CTACCTGGGAGGCGGAAGGATCTCCTGAGCCCAGGAGGTCGAGGCTGCAGTAAGCTGGGATTGCGCCACTGCACTCCAGACTGGGCAACAGAGTGAAACCCTGATTCAAAAGGAAAAAAGAATGCCCCTCTTTGGACTTCCCCTCCAAATTCGCCTTTTAAAAAAGCACCTCTCAATGAAGAAAGATAGAAAAGAAGGAATCAGGGACGTGAAGGAGAGAAGATGGGAAGGGAGAGAGAAAAATCACTATAATTTTGCTCTAGGAACTAGAGCAATTTGGGATTTCACGCCCTTTTGAAGCTGAATAGCATCAGTGCGCCGCACTTTGAAAAGCACTGAAGTGGGTGGGAGGGAACTCCTGCAGCTGCCTGCACGTCCCCCACCCCCCAGCACTCTTCCCACCAGCCAGCCTGTTGCCAGGAAGAGAGAACCAGAAGTCGGGAAACGCTGGGCCACCCTGGCCTGACACCTGGTTGGTTGGATGCTGCCTTGAGCTAGGCAAGGCCGGTAGGTCACAACCATCAGGTCAGCTGGAAGAGGCCTGAGGCTCAGCTCCCCTGGCCCTGGAGCGAATGCTCGGTGGTGCCCCAGGCTGGGAAGGAGGGCTCACCCTAGGAGAGCAACAGGAAGGGTCTCCCTGACAAGCAGAGTCAAAGAAGGGCCCTGAAAGGGTCAGCGGAAGTCCTGGCTTCAAATCTTTCCTGTTTCCTTGCCTTCACCACAGTGGATTCAGCATGGTCTACGAGTGGCGTGCCTAATCCGGTTGGAATTTCCTCCTCCACCCACCTGGCATGGTCCCCGCGGTCTTGAGTGCTCCTGACAAGACCAGGAGTTCTCATACCCGCCCTCCCCAACCAAGTGCCACTTGCCACTTTGGAACACCAGGTAGAGGCCTAAGGAAGACCTGCAGCCCAGCCTGGGCTAGAAAGGGGCAAGTCACCGCCACCATTGGTCCACAGCCCTGCAGAAACCCGATGTCCCCTCCGTTGGTATCCCTTTGCGGCTCACTATATTTGTGGGGGCAGCCAAAGCTCCCAGCAGCCTGGCCCTTTATGGATGGGGGAGTACTCACATCCCACCACGGGAGGACCAAGGGACAGGATGACACAGGAGGGAGCAAGAACACGGCCAGAGGTCTCCCCGAAGAACCATGTGGTAATCTCAGTGTTGCCTGCTGGAGCTCCAGAGTCATTAAGGGGTATCAGGCTCGGTGGTTTTGATACTTTTTTTGACCATAACCCCCAGCCAGAAGTGCATTTTACACTGCCACCTGAGGAACACATATACAACCCAACAGAATTTCTTTTATTTGTTTATTTATTTATTTTTAAAGATGCGGGGTACAATTCAGCATTAGGTATACAAGTGGTCAGCATACAAGCAAAGTTTGGGCCTCCCTTTGATCCTCACTTTGGCTGGTTTGTGATCAGGTACCCCCATTGATGGTGCCACCCCCACCACGGTAGTATCTCGCTACTGCCAATCCCTTTCTTAAAGTATTATGGTAATTGTTCAGGGTCCGCGTATGCTTGAGAACGTGGTACTCTGTTCTTTGTTTCTGTGATAGATCACTGAGTATGATAGACTCTAAATTCATCCAAGTTGCTACGAAGTCCACATGCCAAACAGACTTTCAGCAAGCAACATTTCTCCTGTACATGCCGTCCACACTCATATTTTGTACTTTCACCAATATCTTTTTTTTTTTTAATGCAGTCTGATCATAGATCATGACCCTCAGTTTGAAAAACGCATAGTCATTAAAGGGACACTGGGTGGGGCGAGACCTCATGAATAAGCAAATTTAATATGATAATTGTAAGCATCAGGGAGACTGACTCTCAGCACTTAGGACCCCAAAACAGGCAGCACCAAGCTCAGGGTGGAAAGTGACCAGTACCTGGTTCCTCAGCCCACACTGCCTAGGACAGAAAAGCTGCAAAAACCTTGTCATTGACCATGACAAGATCAAAGTTAAAAATGTGTGCCTTTCAAAATTAAAAAAACAAAAACAAAAAGAAACCACTTTTTTTTCAAGATACGATTTACAATGATTTGGTTTCAGTTGTAAAAATATTCTGAAATTTCAAGTAACATAAAAGAGGACACTGGGTGTTCTGTGTTCAGACAAATGGAATATGGGTCAAAAATGTACAGAAACACGGAACAGGTCCACAGCCCCCATCTTATGAATGACAGAACGGAGGTACGAAACAGTGTCCCAGGGATGAAGCAAGGGGGTAGAGGGGTGGCAGGACTTGAAACCCAACCTAGGCCTCCCGACTCAATGACTCCTGGTCTCCTGTCATCCAAAATATTTAAGAGGAACACAGTTGTAGTCTCTTTAGTGAAGCATTTCCATGACTAAAGATGCATTCCTGGCCAGGCTCGGTGCCTCAGCCTGTAATTCCAGCACTTTCGGAAGCCAAGGCCAGTGGATTGCCTGAGTCTGCAGGTTCGAGACCAGCCCAGGCAACTTGGAGAGACCTCGCCTTTACAATAAATAAATTTTAAAAATTAGCCGGGCATGGTATGGCGCACCTGTAGTTCCAACTACTTGGAAGACTGAGGTGGAAGGATCGCCGGAGTCCAGCAGGTTGACACTGGGATGGCTGTGAGTGTGCCACTGCACTCCAGCCTGGGTGATGGAGTGAGACCCCAACTCAAAAAAAAAAAGATGCATCCCTGATGGCTCAAACTGGACAAATACTGTGTGGATCTTGGCAGGCCTGGGCAGCCTCCCTGAGGCTGGGGTCATGCAACCTGGGCTCACACTACTTCATTCTCTGTGCCTTTTGTCTCAGTTAAAAATTGGAAAGAATAATTCCGCTACCCCTTCAAGAAAGTTGTAGGGAAAAACAAGAGATGCTTTAAAACCAACTCTGCATGCTTAAAAACAGAAGAGGGGCTGGCGTGGCGGCTCACACCTATAATCCCAGCACTTTGGGAGGCCAAGGTGAGAGGATTGCCTGAGCCCACGGGTTCAAGATCAGCCTGGGCAACTCGGCAAGACCTCATCTCTACAGTACATCAAAAATTAGTCAGGTGTGGTGGCACGTGCCTGTAGTTCCAGCGACTTGGAAGGCTGAGGCGGAAGGATCGCCAGAGCCCAGCAGGTCGAGGCTGCGGTGGCCGGGAGTGGCCATTGCACTCCAGCCTGGGCGACAGAGTGAGATTCCAACTAAATAAATAATTAAATAATAAATAAATAAAAGAGGTGAAATAGTTGGATAGGAAGAATTTTTTAAAAATTAAAACTTCATTAAAAAAAAAAAAGAACAGAAGAAGGTCATGATTTGCGGTTAGAGTCAGAATCCCAGAACCTAGAAGACTTTACTGATTAGCTAACGCGAGCCTCATCTTACAGACAAGTCCCATAAGGTGAGTGATGTGTCTAGAAAAGCCAGACCAGCTCTTTCTACCACTCACACCATGTTAACCTGTCCACGGGTGAAAACCGCTACAGAAAGTAATACTAAGTACACAGGTGACATCTGACTCAAAACATACCCACGTTTCCAGGCAGCAGGAGGGCAGGGAGGGACCTCACACAGATCACACAATTTAAACATGTGAGATAAATGCCTCTTGAGAGTGTGTCAAAGACATGACTAATTATTTCTAATCCTAAAAATAAGTTAAAACGATGCTCTGAGCTGAACTCGAAGCTGAGGCCAAGGGTCTCACAGGTCATGGGGTTCCCCAGTAGAACACTCATCTCAAGATACTAGTGGGTCTGGAGCCTGCTCAAATAACATCTCCCTACTCCTAACTTTCTTCAGACTCTGCCCAGGGCACCTAAGACAACAGCCACCTGGCATCTATCCAGTCTTTCTTCGAGGAGTTGTGATGTCTACCATCCCACTGGGAACAGTGGCAGAGAAAGACCACTCCTCTGATTCCCCACAGGGAGAGCCAGAAGGGCGATGGCTCGGGCCCAGCAGCGCGCTGGAAGCCCAAGCCTTTCCTCACTGGACTTGTGCCTGTCCAGCCATTGAACGCCAGCTGGGAGAGAGCTGCCCGGAGCCGGGAAGACCCTCTAAGTTAGACAGACATCTGGCCTTCTCACACCTGCTCTCATGGGGCCAGCATCAGCAACAAGATACAGCCGCTGGTGGGTGGCTCTTGGGGACTCTGCCTTACAAGATAACTGCACCCTAGAGAGGGCTTCGAATCCCCCCAAAGCACCCTGGAGTTGCAGCCAGAAGAGTCAGGTGGCCTAGGAGCCTGGGCAAGTTAATCCGTTTCTTAACCGCCGAGCTTGCTGCGTAAATTAGATGAGTTATGCCCACAAGAGTGCGATGTGTAACAGTCCGTTCTAGTAGTCTCTCCTGCCTCACTATTCCCTGGCCATTGGGTGTTTGGAACTGGCTAGCAGAGGGCAGCTCTCAGTCTAACAGGCCAAGCCCGCCCTCTAAAGCCGCCGCCTTGTAGAAAAGCCCACTGAGACGGCCTGGGCAAGCGACTGGACCGGGCTTACAGGAAACCGAGTGCCTATCCCACAGCCCCGAGCTCTAAGGAGAAGCTCTCCCGGCCCGCCTTCCCGCAAGCAAAAGGAGAAGGCAAACGTCACTGCAGGTCTCACTGCCTTGCAGCGGCTGCGCTGCCCCAACTCCGGGGAAAGAGGTGCACTCACCCCGACACCAGGGACCCACCCAGGCTTCGCCGAGCCGGGACGCCCCAAAGGAGCTGCCACGAGCGAGAGAACTCCTGCCGTCCCCTCCCCCACGCCGCCCCCCGCCTCACCC